TATAGAGATAACCATTGATCCTCATGGACAATTACATGGAGATACCCATAGATCACCATAGGCTATTATATGGGAGTATCCATAGGTCCTCAAGCGATATTATATAGGAGCACCCTTTGGCCATCAACCGCTGTCCTATAGGGTAACCATAGATATCAAGGGCTATTATAGTGGAACACTGGTAGGTCTTTAAGGGTCATCCTATGAGGGTACTCATAGGTTTTCTCATGGGCTATTATATGGGGATATCCACAAGTCGTCAAGGGCTATTATATTGGAACATCCATAAGCCCTGAAGGAAGTAAGCCAATCTATATATATAATGTTCAGTGTATATGTGTTTCTCTCTTTCGGGTCAAAAATTAAACGGTGAATAAGGCTATAAGGGGGTAAGACTATATGGAAGTAAGGGAATACTGGGGTAAGGGTACAAAAGGTAAGGCAGTAACACAATAAGAGACTAAGGCTATAAGATACGAACGCTATAAGAGGGGAATGCTGCAAGGGGGTAAGGCTACACGTGCTAAGACTACATGAGGTATTAGCAGTATAAGAATATAAGGCCGTATGGCTTCTATGTACATAGTGTCAAGTGTCTCTGTGGCTGTTACTAAATGAAAGACTAGAGTTTTGAGGTCGTACGTTAAAGAAAAAACGCTACCGTGCAGTATTCATGGATTCTAGCTAGTTTATATATAATGATTAGAATGAGAATTTACTATAAAAAATATTCTATTTGACTAAAATTTAGAGTTTTTATTTTCAATTAAAATCTTCGCTCTAGAAAAATGATCGACTCGAACAATTTTTTTCATGTTCGAAAAGAGAGTTATAGTCTAAAATAAAAACCTATTCGCTTAATCATTATAAAGTCCTTGAAAAAGTTCTTCACTAGTTTTTAAGAAAAATATCTAATTTCATATTAAAATTTTGATGGCAAAGTACAGTTTGTTGGCTCGTCTGAAATAAATCAACAAACATGTTCAATGGAATTATTGATCGACAGTTTCTGTTTAAATAAATTCTTTCGATTTTTCAAAGGTTATTTTATTACTATTAAACATAAAATTTCCAGGTTTATATTCGAAAAGAGCATAATCTTTCTAGCGGATCAAATGTAAACAAACATCTTGTCGAAAACCTTTCGAATTATTCGTTATATGTTACATAAATATTAAGAAATTTATTCTAAGAAAAAGTCTAAAAGAATTTGATGTCAGGTTAGAAATTCTATATCATAAACATAAGTAAATATCAGTCAGACTAAGAATATACGAAATATAATACATATTCGAACTCTTATGGTAAAAAATGAGAACCCTGTTACCGCATTCTGGATCTTAAACTAGTTTTTTTCAAAAAACATTGAATTAAAAAATTTTGATCTGATAAAATTTAGTCATCAGATCGATTTAGTTATTCTTAGAATATTTTAAAAGTTTTAATTGAAATAAATATTTGTTTATTGTGTTAAGACAGCTTGATCACAAGATAGACAAATTTTATTGATATCATTTTCTCTTTTATTATGTCAAGGAAAATATTCATATCTATTGAAATAATCATTATCATACTAAATTATTCGAGTATTTTTCTTCGAATAATATTTTCCAAAGATACACAATATATGTATCTATATTAATGAGTTCAATTTATTTCGAACATTTACTCATTAATAGAAGTTGACTTTTGATTAAATGTATGAATGAAAGAATCAGCGATTCTAAGAAAAATTTCATTATGTTTGATGATATTTAAAATCGCTTGTTTAAAAAAGAAATTCTTGATAAAACAGTAATAGAATTTTAAAAATAAAATATATTTTCCTAAATATGTTTGATTACTAAATATAATTTTTGTTAATATGACTAACTCGAATAATATCTTGAAGAGTAATAACTAAAGCAACATGTTTTAATCCACATGATTGATTTTGTGTTAAACGTTTAAAATCTTTTGTTGGATTCTAAAATAAAATAATCATTAGTTTATTTATTTTCAAATTATTTTATTTATTTTACTTGACTAAAATCAGATTTTTCAATATAAATAATTGAATCAAATTGAATATTATGATAACCACGAGATTCTTCTCCAGGATAATTTAATACAGTTAATTCTTTTTTTTTTTCATAAGGAAAATTATTAATTGTTACTTTTAATGGTTCTAAAACAACCATTATTCTTAAAACAAATAATAACAATAATAAAATTAATTTTCGAAAAAAAAAATATTTCATACCTAGGAGCAATTCTATTAAGTACTTCCCGTACACATGCATCAAGCATATCTGGATGAAGAATTGTCTGTGACATAGTTACACCAATACGTGCACAAAATAAATTTATTGATTCTGGTGGAAAACCTCTTCGTCTTAATGCAGTTAATGTATATAAACGTGGATCATCCCAATCTCTATTTATTAATAATTATTTAGTTTAGTTAGTTTAAGAATGAGAATGAGAATGAGAATGAGAATATATTTTTCTAATACCGAACAAGATTATTTTCAATTAATTTGACTATTTTACGTTTTGATACAACTGTATATTGAAGATTTAATCTACCATATTCCCATTGTACAGGACAATATAAATCAAGTGAATTACATAACCAATAATATGAAGAACGTCTAAATATATTTTATTTAAAATATTAATAAATAAAAATTATTTTTATTTTACCTTGATTGAAATTCTTTTGTACATAATGAATGTGTTATATTTTCAATTGAATCATTCAAACAATGTGTATAATCATATGTTGGATAAATACACCTAGTTAAAAAACAACATTAATTACAACATTTATATATTTATATATATATACTTATTTATATAAAACAAAAATTCACTTTTTACTTTTTTTTTTATTAAAATTCTCTTAAAATAAAATTGTTTACTCACATTAAATTACACTATCAATTTTAAACATATATTTATAGAAAACTTAGTAATGCTAAGATACCATATATAAAGAACGTCTACAGGAAAAATAACATTGTTTTTTTTTTATCCCTCCCATTAATCTTGTATGAAAATCTTTTGTCTTGATTGCAACAAATTATCAATTCAATTGATAAACGGAAATAGAAATAATCCAAAAGAATATATTTTAGACTTAACTATGTTATATCGACACGTAATAAAATAAATGACCGGAAAACTCGAACGTCTTAATGTATATTTTTAAAAAAAAGCAAACATATTTAGAAAAACTCGAATCTGAACTTAACTGAACATTAGAATGTTTCTATAATTGATTATATAGGACAAAAAACGCTTGCGAATTTACCTAAATTTCCAACATTGTCTGTATAGGTTGGATTATTTCAAAACTCAAATGGAAATCATTCGTCTCGAGTATCAAGTCTGATTTGATGTTTGATGCATGATTAATTTTGACTAGCTTTGCTCTCTATTTTCATGGATATTCACTATCAAAATTTTTTGTTTTCGAAAAAGTCTATTTTTTTCTAATATTACGATTTTTATATTGAAAGACTTAAAGAAATTATACAGAGAAGTTCTTCTATTCTAAATGCTCCTCAAAAAGAATTTAACTTGAAAATTTTTCCATCAATACTTAAAAAAAAACAAAATAATTGTAAGAAATGTTCCAATGTTCAGACGTATCTGATATTGAAACGAGTAAAATGAGATGAAATTTTTTTTCTTTAATAACTTAATGATAACATCTAAAATCATTATTTGTTTTCATTTCAATAATAAAGAAGATCGTTCTATTTAATCGTAATAGTCAACTCTTACGATTGATAACTTATCGTTACGGTAATTGTTAATTAGTAAAGATTAATATAGAAAATTTTTTAGTTTATCAAAATGAATTCTATTTTATAAAGTTTAATCAAAGGTTTTCAGAATAAAAAAATGCGAATCTCTATTAGTCTGTTAATAACTTTTCCTTTACTGAAAAATCAATTACAGATTCAAATTCCTTGATTATAAAAATCTTCAATCAAATTTTATAATAAATTATGATTTTATCTTTAATATATATATTCATAACGAATTAATCAAATTCACAAGTTTTCTATCATTCTGCTAGTTGAAAACTGATAACATAATAATAAATTACTTTTTCCATTTCAATAGTCACAATCATTTTAGAACTATTGGAATTAGTTGTTTTTCTCTTAATTTGATTATTTCATTTTCCATATTCTAAAATATTCAATCTTTTATTGACTTATCTCTTTTTCTCAATATCATTTATTAATATGATTCTAATATGGTTAAAGTCAACATATGATATTATATTGAGCAGATATAGTTCTATATGATAATTAAACTAAACGATCTTATTAACACTTTCACAATAAATATTAAAATATCTCTTTATCAATAATACATTAAATAACAGGAAATAAAGACAAAAATTTTTAAAAATATTCAACTTTATATCTGATAAAATGATATTATTTTCAAGCGCATAGTGTATATCTTAAAAATTATAAATAGAAGTAAACTATTGATTAATATAATATAAAATGTTATATTATATAAATAAAACTTATCATATTAGAATAAATAATTTGTTGAGTATTAATTATTATCAAAATCATTAAAACAAATGATGATAGAATAAGAATTTTCCTTAAAATTCATATATTTATATTTAATATTTCATTATTAATATTTATGATAGATCTAAATAATATTATTGTTAAATTAAATTCTTACCATTTATCACCAGTTTTTGCATGATGAGCATATTTAATACGATAAGCAACAGGATCAAGTTTTCCATCTTCCATAATACATTTCATTCTTAATGTTGCTTCACCTTCAGAAAATTTTCCATTTTTCATATCCTTAAAATATATTCTTGTTAAAAAACAAATAAAATTTAAAAAAAAAACAAAAAAAATAACTTCAAATAATTGTAAAGATTCTTGAATTGGTCTATAACGCCATGGTGATTCATGTACATTATGTCCTTTTAATTCTTCACCTTTTTGATGACAAACATAAGCTAAATCACGAGAAATTAATTCTTTCCCCCATTCATATAATTTATCAAAATGATCAGATGCATGAGTTACTTTATAAGGTTCATAACCTATATTTTTAAATAAAAAAACGATTATTCATATATATATATATATATATATATATTTGATAATTTTACCAAGCCATTTAACAATATCAATAATACCAGTAAAAAATTTTTCTTCTTC